GTTGCAGTAGCCATTCATCTGAGCAATATCGCATGCCATTTTAATCGAGTCTTTTCGCTCATCCTCCCCAGTGCAAACCTTCTTGGTGGTGCGGAACATATCCCTAACAACCGCTCGTTTTGTGTAAAAAGGATAAGCTGAGTGATAATGGACAATGATATTCTTATTGCTGGGTTTTCTGACCACTTCGTAACAATCATATCGCCCTGTAACTTCACTTGAATATTTAAGAAAGGAAGCCAATTTCTGGTCGGTTTTTCCCGAGACAATTTAATGTGCTCCGATTGTGAGTTCAACAGGTCAAAAGACGCATCTATTTCTTTCTGCGTCGCACAAACTATGAAGCAGACGTCTATATACCCGCAGTAAAGTAAAGGCAGGTATTCGAGTGCTGGCGCTTCAATCTTGGCCGTAAATGCTATGGTCAAGACAGGTGCCAACCGTTGTCCCATGGCTAAGCCTCTAGTCTGAGCGAAATATCTCCCGACCACTTGAAAATGTTGTAATCGAGGCACTCATTAACAAGTGTCATCAGTTAAGATATAGTGAGCGCTCGCATATTATTGGGTTGTCCAAAAAATCCTGCGACACTTTGATTTTGAGTATCGCTAGCTATTCGAAAGCGAATAGCGCCCAATTTTGATCTAGTAAGGTAGATCACACCTAGCGGGTATTGCGAAATATTATAAAAAGGCTTCACCTTTCACGGAAAAACAGTTATGGATCCTACAAATCCGAGTATCCTTCGACCCATCGTGTATTATGAATTTCTACAAGGACATTCTGCAAGAGAAGCAGCTAATAACATCTGCGCTGCATTCAAGAAAGATGTGGTACACCATTCCACTGTCAGTCGCTGGTATCACCGCTTCGAGTCCGGAGATATCTCTATCGAAGGACAGGAACGTCCTGGACACCCGTCAACTCTTCATGATGATGATTTGCGCAGCGCTTTGATCTCAAAGCCGAACATAACCACTCGGGAAGTAGCAACGACTTTCGGGTGTAGCAAATCAACCGTCAGCAATCGTCTTGCCTCTCTTGGCTTCCGCAATATTCTTTCGACATGGATGCCTCACGAACTTCGCGAATCGGACCGAGCCTGTCGTGTTAGCATTGCCGAGTCATTGCTTCTTCGTCCGCACAGGAAGGATTTGTTTAATGGGATA